TTTTTCTTTCCTTTCTTTTAGTCTTCATGTTAAAAAAAACTTGTTATTTGATGTTGACTTCAGAATATTGTTTTCTTTGTTTTTCTTTGCTGTAATAAAAATAGCTTTACAGACAAATGAGACCTCAAAAGGTGGGAGGCATTTTTCACTCAGCTCCAGTTTTAATTCCTCTTCCAGCTAAATGCAGAAAAACATCACTCAGGGGTGCAAACCTGGAAGCAACTTTACTCTGTGTGCATAGTATTTGTAGCTTTACTGTTTATTTAACACGAAAGCTGAAAATTCAGGAAAGGGGGAAAGCTTTTAGGGTGACTTTGGGTTTTTTTAGGCTCAGTGCTCAGCTCCAGTACTGGCATCGCCACCATCGTATATAGACACTGGCGGAGGAAGAGGGGGCAGGGCAGGGCACCGCCCTGGCAGCGTGATCCCGGTGGGGTTCCATCGTGGCTGCCCCCCCGCCCGCGGTGGGCACCCCGCCCCCGCAGGCAGCACGCCACACCCCCAGAACGCGTGCCACACCCCTGCATGCAGCAGGCCATGCCCCCAGGTGGCATGCCACGCCCCCGGGGTGCATGCCCCGCCCCCACTTGCTCTCCGCCCCCGGTGCCGGAGCATGAAACTCCGCCATTGTGTATAGATTATATACTTCCAAAATGCAGGCATCTGTATGCATATCACTCTTACTGGTTCTGAATCCAACATGCAATTGCCTCGTTGCTTTTGTGGATTGAGTAAAATACCAGCCTTAGAATCACTCCAGCCAGGAGATGGCCCACAGAGATCAAATCAAAAGCAGGTTTTGCCAAATAAATAAATAGACCCACAGGGCAGTTGAAAAAGTTCAGATTGGACCAATGGGCTGACTACCCACACCTCTTGCAAGGAATACAAAAATCCCAGCTGGGATTGAGATTTTGTCTGTTGAAAATCTAAGTTACTTATTTACATCCTATGCAAATAATACTATGTAAATTCTGTCACATTTATCAGTTCTATATGTGTGTGTGTGCGTGTGCGTGCACATGCTTCTGCGCCTACGGGTTTTGGATGCTGCCCAGGCTATTTGGATAGGCAAGTTGGGACTTCAATCCTGCAGATAGTACTGGGCAATGTTCCTAGATTAGTTTTGGTATGGAGTGCACAAGATATTTAAAAAATATTATTGGTCTACAGAAAACTGCAAGGAAAAACACACTTGAGACGCATTTGACCTATGATTATTGGACAAGCATGTCTGGATACCACAAATCACTCTGGAGCCTCCAGATGACCTATTTATTGAGCATTCATTCCATACCCTCCAACTGTCCCTGTTTTCATCAAGAAACGTTGGAGAGCATTTGCTTGCCTAAAGTTTGTGCAGATAATATATCTGCTATTTATTGAGTGTTGGCTGTGATTTCTTTGTGGGGAGATTATACAACAATGTGCACATTAGTCCTGATTTACTTGTGCAATTTTTATGTATCTTGCTGTCCATCATTAATTCATCCCACATGCTTTTAGTGCATTGCCCCATCTCTAACTGCATAAAGTCGGTTTCTATTCAAAATCAGAGTTACTGTACTAGGGTGACAGAGCACTTTAATCCACCCTGATTGTGCAAACCTACACTTCCCCATACGCACCTGAAAACCTCCTGCAAAATACTGGTAGTCTGAAGGCACCCTCTGGTTTCTGTTGATGTCTGAAGAAAGAGTCTGTGTAACTACTTCAAGGCCTAATTTGGAAAAAGGAGAGTATTTGGCTGGTGTCAGGCAAATACCAATTTATTTTACTTGCACCATCTAAAAGAAAAATGTGGCCGGTATCACATTCAGTCAGCTTTGCTATCTCAGTAGATCTAAAAGTCATTTGGACGTATCTGAAAAGGATTGAAACATCTCACCAGTGTTAACACCCTGTGATATGAATGGCCAGACTTCAGCTGTGCCCTTATTCAAAACCAAAACTTGGCAGGTATAAAGCTGCAGAAGCACTTTGAAGTCCCATCACCAGGCACTTTCAGTAGTTGGCTTGTAAGCAGCTGCGATAAGCAACCAGTATTATTCCACTGCCTGAGATAGCACTGTGGACCCTGAACAGATCGATAGAAACCAACAGCACAGCAATGGATAAGCAGCAACAGTGTTGTGCCAACACAGATCAGAAGCTTACTGAGGGCTTTATATACTGTGGCAGATACACATGTGTGTGCTCAGTTGCCCTCCCTGAGGAAGAACAACACACAGTTCTAGAGAAAGCACTTTGTTTCTGTTGCATGCAAATGCTGATGCTAATCGTTTGCCCAGCACAGGGATGCATGAATCAGCTTTCCTTTTTCTCAGTTTCTCATTTTTCTAATCTTCAGTTCAGTTCTCCATATCCGTTTGATAATTATGTTTTTATTAGTTTTTATTAAATTTTTGTGTTACAAAACGAACAGATAAACAGGGAAAGGCACACCGATTGCCTCCACTTTCAATTCACAGTCTTATTCACAGCATTTAATACACACATTCCTGCATGCAGTTTTGCCTAACATAAACATTTTGGCAAGCATTTCCCCCCAATATTATGACTTTTTTGTATGTTATTCTTCACTAATATGTGCATTTTTTGCACACTTTACACTGGTATGTCTGTTTGACTGGAGGGCTGCATTGCAAAACTCAGAGATGTGTGACTTATAAAGGTTCACATATTGAAACAGTTCATGTATTGTTTTGAGATGTGCAAGTTAGGTAGATCCGTCTTTGAATGAGAAGTGAATGAAATTTCTCCCCTGCCCCTGACCTGCTGTCAGTAGTGCAGCAAGATAATTTTAGACTCTGGACTAAATGGTCTTATGGGGGAGGCCCTCTTCAGGTGTTAATGTGGATTACTTCGCTTTTTTCAAAATGTGCTAGATTTGGGGCCTATTCTTCTTGTTCCCTGGATATCTGCCTGAAAGTACAGTGGTACCTCGGGTTACATACGCTTCAGGTTACATACGCTTCAGGTTACAGACTCCGCTAACCCAGAAATAGTACCTCGGGTTAATAACTTTGCTTCAGGATGAGAACAGAAATCGTGCCTCGGCGGCGCAGCAGCAGCAAGAGGCCCCATTAGCTAAAGTGGTGTTTCAGGTTAAGAACAGTTTCAGGTTAAGTACGGACCTCCAGAACAAATTAAGTACTTAACCCGAGGTACCACTGTATTACACTTCCTGCCGCCTCTGAGACTGGTATGGTAGCAATAGCCACATGGTTCCTGCCGGTGGGGGGGGGGTGTTTCCTCTGTGGAGGTCTCTGAAGAAGATTCTTCAGCAACGGCTTCCTGAAATAGTCCAGGGAGAAGATCTTTGCCACGCTTAGGTGTCTCCATCTCCCCATAGTCCTGGGAGCATAAGAGAAATGCAGTGAAATGGCTTGAACAACTGCTAATAGCAAGTAGTGCGGACAGAGCCTTTACTCGTAGTGTCGCACATCCCAGTGGAAGGGCTCTCTTTATTGAATGTTAATTCACAAAGTCGTTTTGCCCTGAGGATGATTCACACAACGCAAGAAGAGCCCTAATGGATGAAGCCCAAGGTCCATCTGGGTCAAGCCAAAGGCCAACTAGATGGCTGTGGGAAGCTCACAATCACAACATGAGCAAAACAGCACTGCCTCCATTTCTGTTCCTCAGTAACTGGTATTCAGAAGCATACAGAGACCTCCTCAGACAACAAAGGTGCTAGGTATATAGTCATCACAGCTAATAACCATTGATAGCATCCTCCATGTATTTATCTCTTCAAGTTGGTGTTCATCACTACACCTTGTGGGAATTAATTCCATAGTTTAACTGTGTACTGTGTGATGAAGGCTTTCCCTTTGTCCTGCATCTTCCAAATTCCAGCTTCATTGGTTCTGTCATTAGGACAGAGGGAGAAAACATCTCTTTCTGCTCACCATGCATAATTTTATGCACCACTGTTATGTGTCATCCTTCCTGCACTTGCCTTTTTACTGAACTAAAAAGCCCCAAGTGTTGTAACCCTTTTTCGGAAGGGAGCTGTTATTTTACATGGTGAGGCTGACTTTTTCCAGGTCGCTTCAGCGCAGTGGCATGGTCTTGGAAATCATTCGGTGTCAACTGAGACTGTGACTCACCAGGTCCTGCCTTGGCCTACTGTTCAGGGAAAGCTTTCTAGGATGTGGAAAACAAGTCCTAGTCCTGTGTCAGAGTATTCGTAAGACCCATTAACTCCCTTCTGCCAATATCCCCAAGAACTCAAGACTCCTTCAAAGCTGGATTTCCTTTATTTTATTTTTATTCATTCACTTAATAAACCGCCCTTTGGTAACAAGACTCTTGGGGTGGCATATAATTTAAAATCAAATACAATCAAGTCACAAAAAGAAAAGGGTAAAACCACAGAATCACAGAGGCTCTAGCAAAGCTCACTAAAAATCCAGTATAGCTATAAAACAATGGTAAAGTCATCTTTACAGTAAATCCAGGCTAATATTGCTGGGCATTTTGTTGTTGTATAAAGAAATGTTCCGTCCCCAAAAGGGCATACAAATGTGTGTCAGGAAGTCTTCTCTGGCGAGGGCATCTCACAACATTCCTGTGCCTTCTAAAAGCAGTAGCTAATGGGACTGTTAGAAAATGTAACAGTCCTAGGCTCTTTTATTTTTATGTTGTGAACAGTATACTACTACTACTACTATTAGTACTACTACTACTAATAGTAATGATAATAATAATAATAATGCTTTTTCTTATTAGAGCAGGGATAGGAAACCTCTGGTCTATGGGTCATTCTTGGCACACCAGGGGCTGCCTTTGGTTTGCAAGGCAATTTCCCCCAAACCATGCTTAGCTGTCATTCACATGGGCAAGGAGCGGGTTCAGTTCTGTGTTGGCGCACAGCCGAATGTAAACCCCACTCCTTGTTCTTCAGCAGATGAGCTTTTAAAACAATTGCTTAAAACAGAGTTTGCCACCTTCTGAGGTAGCGCATTCCACTGCTGAACAGCTCTCACTATCAGAAAATTCTTCCTAATGTTTAGGAATGTCTTGTCCTTTCTTGTAGTTTGAATCCATTGGAGCTTCAGGAAACAAGCTTGCTCCATCTTCTAGCTTCAGATATTTGAAGATGGCTGTCATATCACTTCTCAGTCTCCTCTTCTTCCAGGCTAAGCATGCCTATCTCCTTCAAACACTCCTCATAATGCTTGGTTTCTATACCCTTTATCATCCCTTTCATATGGGTTCCAGATTGTCAATATCCCTTCTTAAACTGTGGTGCCCAGAACTGGACACTGTACTCCAGGTGGGCTTCAGAATCCTTTAACTCGAAGGTTGGTGGACCTTGGGATTCTAGTAGAAAGCAAAGTAGATCCCACAAGCCTGAAGTCTGCTCCTCTCTGCCTGATGGGACAAATGCACCCTTAACCAATGTCTCTCTGTATAAACCACACCCTCAACAACAGCCCTACTCTCCACTGTCAATACAAAGCAGCCTGAAGCTCTTTAAAGAACCTTTGAAGTTAAGAAGAAGCAAAAGAATCTTGAACTCAAACGAACCTATGAATGGGACCGACAATTTACCAAAGTCACATTATGAAACCAATACCTGAGGAAATTACAGTACCTCTCACAGCACAATCAACATCTTGATTAGAGAGGTGCGTGGGAGGGCAATTCCACCGAATAAAACTGCTTTGATGGAAATTACTGATGATTTTAAGAGAGGCAGCACTTCTGAAGCATAGTGTGTCTGTGTGCGCAGAGGGCGCATGACGCCTGATCCTTCTCCAAAGGCAAAGGAAGCCACAGCAAATCTAGCAAACCCAACAGAAAATTGTGCACTCGCACCTGTTGTGAAGACAGAAGAGCCGTTCAAACAACTTCATAAAAGTTACTGCACCATAATATATTTTAACTGGGCCTACACATCTGCCTACACAAACTTGGGTGTTAGTCATTTGTGGTGCCTTGTAAACCTGAAAGGGCATGGGAAAGAAGTGACTTCTCAGCTGACAAACTGAGTGCCAATTCACATTTATGGCAGTCCCCGTATGATAAGACTGGAAACAGCGACCAGTTTTGCCAGGGCATGTGCCCACTGGGACTGGTGGGGTGGAAGTCAGAGCAGTGCCAGGTTTAGGGTGGCACAGCAGTTCCCCTGCACAGGGTGCTAAGACAGGGGGGTACATCATTACCATCATCACCACCACCATCATCATATCCTATATTTGTATAGGTACCTACTGAGAAGAACCATTTAAAATGCAACTGTACCAAAAGGCGTTATTGTGAAAATAAGAAATGGGGGGAGGGGATTTTGTCCTTGCTCAGGGCACCATATTACCAAAGTTCACAGCTGGTCAGGGAGGCCAACAGAATAAGTGGAGGCTGAGCCAGTGAAAAGCAAACCCAGCTAATTCAAGTTTTGCTCCCAGCCTCCTCCCTGTTGTGTTCCATGAGGGGCAAAAATGAGGCGGCGGAGGAGGAGGAAGCTGACATGTGATGCTAACCCTTGGACTGGATTTAAGGAAGGAGGCAGGTAGAGGGGGCTGGCTGAGGTTGGTGGGGTTGTGCCCCACTTATCCTAAGGTACCAGTCTCCACTGCATAATCATCATCACCACCACCTGCCCTGGTTGGTGCATGCAGTGGGGCTGTGAACGCAGTGGTAACATCACTTGAGGACACCCCTATGTAAGCATCTTCTGGCGCCTGTCCTGGTTTCCATGGCAACAGGATGCTGCAACAAAGGGGTGACTGGCATAGCAGGTACCATAATACCAGAGGCTGAAGAGGGCAGAAAGCATGTCAACCTTGACAAGACCTTTGTACTGCTAACCCGTACTGCCACCAGAAGCAGTAGCCTCTCCCTTTTCTTTTGCTTTGCACCAAGTGTTTTTGCGTGGTTGGAATCTGCCTGCTAAAGCCTCTTGCCAGTGGTGTAGCATGGGTTGCCAGCCCCCAGGGCTGTGTGGAGTTGGAGGGAGAGAAACAGATGGCGTTTGCATGTCCATTCAACTGCCTAACGGTGTCTGCGTCACCCAGGAGATTGCAGCTGCAGAGAAAAGAAGAGTCGTTCTGTTGTCTGGAGCGGTCACTTCCTGGTTCGCATGGAGAAGCCATTTTCAATTAAGCCCAGCTACAGAAGCACGCAGTTGTATTGTGGCAGCACCAGGGTTGAAATTTTGCGCCCCCTAACAATGTGGTACCTGGGGCAACCACCTACTATCTCTTGTCCGTCTGAATGGAGGAGAGTGGAGAGGGGTGTGTGAGCATTTGTAGAAACTAGAGATGTAGGTAGAATTTACATTCATTGCCCCACCCACTTTTGCCTCTGGCCCCTCCCCCAACGGCATGTGACCCCTAGAAATTTCCCAGAAGAGAATGCAACCCTCAGGTCGAAAACGGTTCCCCACCCCTGTAGTAAACGAAAACACAGGATCTGATGTCATCTTGTTTCCATCTTGTCATCTCAAGTTTCCTTGAGGCCCCCCCCCCAACTTTATAGACTGGCATCAGTAGAAGCAGGAAAACACAGGCGCAAGGTCACACCATAGTGTTTTTGTTGACTGCCTAGATATTGCCTGGAGACAAGGGAAGGGGAGAGGAGACAGTGGACTGCTTCTTTTGGCTGCTGCACAGAGATCTCCACAATGCCTATTTCCAGACTTAGGTATGGGAAGCATGCACAGCCCACATTCAAAGACAAACCAACTGTGATTACCAGATGCCTGGAGAAAAGAACATGATGATTATTGGGTGCAGAGATTTTTGACCTTTGATCCAACAAGGCAAGTTTTATGTTCTTTTGCACAGCTCTGCCCTTTCAGGTTATTGTTCTGCTCTCTCCTTCCAATGTCTTGGCTGTTTGTGCTATTAAATAAGAACATGACATACTTATTATTTACCTTAGTCTAGTGCAAAGATGGGCCAGGCTGGCAATACATTACGAGCTGGGTTGCCATTGTTAGCCAAATACCTTAATTGCACGCAGTAGTTAGCAAACCTGCATTGTATTTTCAAGAACCCAGCTATAATCCTGATTCACAGCTGTTATATAAAAAAGAGAGGTGCCAGCACTCAGCTTCCCTGGAAAACATCGTCCTCTTACCTTGAAGCGCACACACAGATAAACACACACACATTCATACAGGGGCCGCTTTTAATATTTTAATAAATATATTAATATTTCTGCTTCGCTCTCTCCTCTTCCCACAATTTCTCATTATCGTTCTCAATGCCCTCTCCATAAAATCTTTCTCTTTTATTAGAGCAGAAGGGTGGAGAGGGCATCGAGAGAGAGAAGGAAAATGATGGAGAGGGAGAAATGGAAAGATGAATATATATTCATTAGAAGTGGCCCCCATATAGATGTGTCTTCTCAGTCCTTTTCTGCTGATTTGCCAGGTTTCCAGGACAGTAGCATAGCATGGGGGCAGTTGCCCTGGGGGCAGAATTGTTTGGGCACGAAATTTCAACACCCAGTGCTGCCTCAGTAGAGCTGCACATTTCTGGTTCTGGGTTCCGTTGAAAATGGCTTCTCCATGCAAACCAATATATGACCTCTCCAGACAATGGAATGACTCTTCTTTTCATAACTGTGGCTACAATCTCTTGGGTGACGTGGACGCCGTTAGGTAGTTGAATGAGCATGTGTACTCCGTCTGCTTCCCTCCCACTCACCCCCTCTGCATGACCCCGGGTGCTAGCAACCTACGCTCCGCCACTGCTCCAGGATATCCAAGTGCTGACATCTCTGGAAAGTCTAAAATCTGAAACCTGGAAGCATAGTTTCAAGGGGCAGAGTCCAAATTCCAAAGCTTGACTTAGCAGAAGGCAAATAATAATAATAATAATAATAATAATTTATTATTTATACCCCGCCCATCTGGGCGGCTTCCAACAAAATATTAAAATACCATAATACATCAAACATTAAAAGCATCCCTAAACAGGGCTGCCTTCAGATGTCTTCTAAAAGTCTGGTAGCTGTTGTTCTCGTTGACATTTGGTGGGAGGGCGCCACTACCGAGAAGGCCCTCTTCCCTGTAACTTGGCTTCTCGCAGTGAGGGAACCGCCAGAAGGCCCTCGGCGCTGGACCTCAGTGTCCAGGTAGAACAATGGGGGTGGAGACGCTCCTTCAGATATACTGGACTGAGGCCGTTTAGGGCTTTAAAGGTCAGCACCAACACTTTGAATTGTGCTCAGAAACGTACTAGGAGCCAATGTAGGTCTTTTAAGACCGGTGTTATGTGGTCAATCCAGTTTGGTGTAGTGGTCAGACTGCTGGACTACAACCAGGAAGAACAAAGTTTTCATCTGAACTTCGCCATGAAGCTCACTGGATGACCTTGGGACAGTCCTTGTCTTAAGTTGTGTGATATTTGGATCATGCAATTACACTCCTAGAGGATTACCTGCTTTTGGAGAAGGCTGCCTGTTGCATCTCTTAATGAACCAGTCAGGTGGCTTGCCCATAGCAGTAACTCACACAGAAGTGGTGTGGAGAGAATGAAGCAGATCTTTGATTCAGAAAAGGCATGCCTCTGTAGTTTGTGAAACACCAACCTATAGGCTAGATCAAACTGTAACTGTTCTTGTAGCATAGGAATATAGCTGGAGTGAAGAACCTGTGCCTCTCTAGACCTTCTTGGACTCCAACTCCCATCAGCCCCAGCCAGCATAGCCAATGGTTGGGAATGAAGGGAGTTGTAGTCCAACAACATTTGGTGGGCCACAAGTTCCTCACCCATAGAATATAGCCTATTACATCCAGAATATGGGACTTCCTTGAGCAGATTCATAGACCAATGCCTTCATTGGGGTTTAATTTGAGTGACAGCACACCAGGACTCAGCTCTGGGGTCCGTTCTAAATGCCAAATCTCAGCCTTCGAACATGAAGAAAGGTGCATATGCAGAGTGCCTCTTCCTCACTACTGAGCAACTAGATGGGGACAAGGCTTTCATATAAGAGAGCATGCCAGAATCACATTTAATATGCCTTGTATATTATTACTGTTATGTGTATATTTATGTGTGCTTTAGCAATTCACTCACGCAGAAATGAGCCAGCATCCAGCTACCATGTTCTGAGAGCTAATGGATTTCCAAGAAAACTCATCAGAGTGGAATCAGGGTCTGCAATATGCAGCACAATAGACTGTGTTGGAACCAATAAGACTCTCAATGACTGATTAGGTTGCGCGTCCACTCCATCTTGGTAATTGCTTTTCCCATCTAGATGAACAGTACAGGCAGCCTGTTCTCAGGTGGTCTCACAGTGGGGTTTATTGATACATAAATGCAGTGGTTAATTGCTAAAATTGAGAGAAGCTGGGGCCCAAATTGGTTGGGATGCAATATCCCTTAACAAAGACACTGCTCAACCCTAGATGAGTATGGGTGTGATGGCTTGATTGATATTGGAGAAAGGCCTTGTATACATGCACTGTGAAATCACTCCGCCTTCTTGTTTTATTATCTAGATATCTATGTGATTTCTGTTCTGTCCCTCCAAAGGAGACCGGGGCAGCAAGCACCAAAGTAATAAAATAGTATTTTTAAATGCCATACATTTAAAAACATTTTTGAACATTAAGAACATGTAAAAACAAGCCAATAGTTTCAAGGTTGCCAACAGCTACAGTGAGGGGGGAAAGTATTTGATCCCCTGCTAAATTTGCCTGCTTGTCCTCTGACGAAGAAATGACCAGTCCATAATTTTAATGGTAGGTTTATTGTGAGAGACAGGTGCTTCTAAACTCAGCTTGTTACATACAGTGAAGATACCAAGTAGCCTGACATCTGGCTGGTTGATAGGGGATCAAATACTTATTTCACTCATTATAATGCACATCAATCTCTGACTTTTGTCTTCTGGGTTTCTGGGGGTTTTCCCGTTGTTATTCTGTCTCTCACAGCTACAATAAACCTACCATTAAAATGACTCTTCCTGCATTTGACACTTCTAGAAAGGAGTTCAGAATGCCTTCCACAGGTTAGAGAGTTTGCAGTTGACATCTCTGAAGTTTTGCATTTGATTTCATAGGGAAGGGGGGTTTCTTTGTTACGTACTAAATTGTCCCTGGCGTTTTTAGCAGGTGCATTATGCAAATTTAGCAGCAAGGGTGGATAAACTATGGAAATTGGTGTGTTAAAAAAAAAGAAGACAACAGAGACACTTTGTAGCCCAGGGATCAGGTGCTTCAGAGATTTTGAGTTTACATGGAAAGCAGCCTGAGTAACTGAATATTCTTTGGGCATCAGACATTGCTGCACACACTTTATTTAACCAACCCGGCTAGTGAGTTCACACTCCTCTCCATCTTCGCTAAAGTAAATTGAACCCAATTCTAGTCCTGCTATTACGTCTTTGGTTCTGTAAACACAAATTTCAGAAAAGCAATTATGTTTGACTCATGGGAGAGGGTGCATATACCTGTAGAGATGCAGGAGTCAAAATAAGGAGGCTGGTGTACTTGAAAAATCGTGCCACAATAAACCACGACATCTTTTCTCTGTCGAATGCATTTTGGCCAATCCCTAACATACGGCAAAGTAATATCAACCTATTATTGCCTGTTCCACAGATAAATAATAATGAACAGTCTAGGGAACAGTGGATTGCACAAGTATGTACTGTCCAAAGGAAGGATGTTTGTGCAATAGCGAAGACAAAAGGACAACAAGTTAATCAAAGAAATATATAATCAAGGTAAGCATTCCGTATCCCTGACCATTTCTGAAGCACATAAGATGCTATACACAAGTGGACACAGTGAATTAGTCAATAAAAATGAAGAATCTGTTTTAAAAAACCTTGCAAACAAGATTGCCCCATTTCACCAGCTGAGTCCTCAGTGGATTTCAATAGTTTCCGGTTGCAGATTCGCTGGATTGATGCAGAGACAGTCAAATGTGTTTTACATGTGAGCGCTCTGGAAAAAAGAGCTTACCAACCAAATGGGACTGAAAGAACTTGTGCAGGTGTATCACAAAATCTTATGTAGGATAGAGATAGATGTGTCACTCTATTCTGGTCCAGGGCAGGGAATAGGCCTGACTCTTACCCTGTGCAGATGGTCAGAGCTGGAATCAAGTAGTACAGGATGTGTCAGGATGTTTGTTTTGATCTCACATTGTTTTTTGTTAGAAGAGACTTCTTTCTTTTGTTGATAATTCACTACAACCACATTTGTTTCATTATTTGTTCGTTAGGCTCATATTTATTTTCGTTATTCTATTTCTTTTCATTACCACTGTGTGATGGCAGCAGTAAAGCTCATTTTGGCAGCCGTTCTTGGTGGTCACCATTTTATTTCCCCATAATACCCTGCACATAGCATTGTATCAGGGCATTCTAGAGGGAAATAGCAACTTTTAGACAACAACAACAATTTTATTATTTGTATCCCGCCCATCTGGCTGGGTTGCCCCAGCCACTCTGGGCGGCTTCCAGCATATACAGAAACATAATAAAACATCAAACATTAAAAATGGCCCCAGTTCCCTAGCTCTTAGTTTCTTATGGCAGCCTTTATTCCACACCCACACACAGAAGGACCCAACACGACGCATTCTGAGGAAATAAAATGTAATTTGATTCATTACTTATTCACTAGATTCCCATTTGATTCATATCTGTTTTCATTTCTCCTTCCCATTTTTCTTTTACTTTTATGTTTCACCATTCTGGTTGATCATCATTTTATTTCCCCAGAATGGCCTGGACACTGCATCATTCCAAGGCATTCTGGTAGTAAATAGCAACTCATGTGGCAGCCTTAATTTCCTCTCCACACCCTCAAAGAATGCACCAGCATATCCTTCAACACTTTGAAGCCAAAATCCGCGACACCACCTTCCTGGACACCATCTCCCCATAGTTTAAGGGTTTGGGGCTGCATGCAACATCACAACCCCCAAAAAGCACGTTTCTTGGGGAATCATGCCACAAAATCACATGAGATCACAGCAACCAAAATGGCTGCTGTTCTCTTGCAATAAAAAACAGGATGTCCCATTTTTTCCCAAGGCTCTGCTAATGACATCATGTAGGTGTCAAAGTGAGAGTTTCACAGATATGGATAACATGTTTAGGTGGCATAACATCATCAACTGGGGAGGCCTGAGGACCACCCAAGGGACAGACTGACCAGGGATGGTGGTGACTCTTCCATGGCCACCCATGGTGTAGGAAAGGAAAGGAAGACATTCAGTCTGCCTTTAGTCCAGAGGTGGGGAAATTGTATCTCTCCAGAAGTTGCTGGACTACAACTCCCATCATCCCTGACCATTGGCTACACCAGCTAGGGCTGATGGGAGCTATCTGGATGGCTACAGGTTCACCACCCTTGCTTTAGTCCAGCCCAAGTGTCACTAATCCAATCTCATTCTGCATCTTCCGAGGACCAAATCTGATTTATCAGTTCCTAGTGTTTGACCATACTGCTGAGTCATTCAAAACAAAGCGTGAATGATGCTCCTCAGTGTCCTTTCTCTGTCATAGCCTTTGATGCCTCAGAGGAAGCGGGCGTAAAATATGCCCAAGAACATAAGAAGAGACCCGCTGAATCAGGTTAGTCCAACATCCTTTTCTTGCATTGGCCAACCAGATGCCTATACAGTGGTACCTCGGGTTAAGAACTTAATTCGTTCTGGAGGTCCGTTCTTAATCTGAAACTGTTCTTAACCTGAAGCACCATTTTAGCTAATGGGGCCTCCTGCTGCTGCCGTGTCTCCGGAGCACGATTTCTGTTCTCATCCTGAAGCAAAGTTCTTAACCCGAGGTACTATTTCTGGGTTAGCAGAGTCTGTAACCTGAAGCATATGTAACCTGAAGCGTATGTGTTAGAGATATCTGGTGGCTGCTCGAGAACAATCGGGCAATATGCCTCAATGCTCTGTTCTAAAGCTTTCTTATTGGTGGTAAAAACCTTTAGAACGCAGAGCGCCTCTATTCCATGTCTTGCTCATTCACTGGCAGAATCTGAGAGTGGGCAGTCCTTAAATCTTCCCCAGCAGAGTAGTTTCTTGACCCCCAGTCTGCGCCTCCCCTCTCTGCGTGAAAGCTTACTGCGCAAGGAAGGCTTGGGTAACGCGGGACCTCCCTCCTCCCCGCTTTGCTCAGGCAAGGTGTCCTGGCACCGCCTTGCATCCTCCAAGCCCTGCGCCTCCTCCACTGAGGAAGTGCTGCTTCCCACGATCTTTGGGGGCTCTCTGTAATCCATCCACCTTTTCCCCTCTTGCTCCTGAGCCAATGGCAGTTCCCAGACAGTATGTAACCCGAGGTACCACTGTATTTTGGAAGCATTTATCCAACCAAAAAACATGTACATAAGTTTGTGTATGAGGGGAAAGTGTGCATGAAGGATGCATATATGTTGGTGAAAACAAAATACAAAAATGCCTCCTACTGGGGAAAACTGCTTGCCAGAATGAGATGAAATGAGATAAAATCACGTACAAGTAAGTAATGCTAGGAGATTTGTTGGCTGGCATCCGTCTGTCTCGGGAGACAATGGAAGAGTGCTCCTTTGAGGGGTGAAGTCAAGCCATTGGAGAGTTACAGTGCTTGCCATGCCCTAAAATTCTGAAATTTCTTTTGTGAGGACTGTTAAACATAGTAGTCATAGGCTGGTGCCAGAATGTGGCGAATTGATGGAGAAATGAGAAGCCAGTGTGGAAGGATTTGCCCATCCCCACCTCCAGCCAAAGCACCTAGCTTTTCTCACAGGTGCTCTCCTAGAATCAGCTGGGGCAAACCAGTTACAGCCTGTTCTAGGTGGGTGACTCACACTCTAAATACTTGGAACAACCAACAGCCCCATTGTCCCCCACCTTAAGGCTGTATCAAAGCCTGAAGAAATCAGGTCCTCTTCCTTTACTTTCCATAACAGAGGAGCATGACTCACAATGGTTCATTATAGGTGCACAAACATCAACCTCACTTTTCATTCTTGACATTCTGTAGACAATTCTGAATTATAGGTTAACTCGGTTGGCACTCAGGTAGCCAAGGTCAGGACATCCCAGGGATGGCAAATATGATGGGCTGCGTCTCAGCGAGATACCTGCTGTCCCTACTATTTTCGTTCCAGTTATTTACATTCCATTCCCAGAATGCGCACAAAGAGACACTTGTACAACTCGGACGAAGCCTTAGGAGGAAGAGGGTGGTGACATCAGAACAGAGCTCCTGTTTTTTTGTTGACAGTAAGGACAGAGAAACCGTTGTTACTTGAGCACTCCATGAACATTTTTTGTTTTTTTAAAAAAATCCTTTCAAATTACATACCCCGCCAGGAACACTCCATTCTGCCAGGAACCTCATTGTTCCTACCTCTTTGTTGGTAATTATAACCTACTTCTGTACTTGTTTTGAAACTTGGAGCCAAATATTGTTTTTCCTCAGAGGGTCATCAACACACATACCTCTTGATGAACAGGTAAGCCATCGCAAACAGAGCTATTTGTATGTCACACTCCATGCAGAAGCATAGAAAAACATCAATGGACAGTATATGAAACACTTTCTCTGGGATTCAGCTTTCTAGTTAGAATCTCTGTTTCCACTTTTTTTAAAAAAAATCAAGTTTGACTCCTCAAGGTGATTATAAAGATACACCTGGCAACATGCAGGTAGTAGATTCTCAGAGATGACATGTAAGAGGATTAGGGGTTGGGTGGGGCTGCACAATGCGCTATATAACTTCTTGCCACAATTCACAACTGCCAGAAGCAGACTAAAATACTCCAAGTAGTAAAATGGCTACATCTATTATGATAAAGTTAAGACATCATCGTGTGCATGCATGCCTACTTGCAGATCAAAGAACTCATCTTTTCTTTGAAGAGAGTTTTGGTATTCACACATATACTCCAAAGTCCATGGTTGGAGTACTCCAAAGTCTTCCCCTCCTCTCTTTCTTTGTGAAACACAAGGTGCTGCTGGCCTGTGCTAAATCATGGAGGAATGCGTAATAGAATCCTTTTAATACTCAATTAATTTACCCACATGTTTTGAGCCTGGATTTTGTAATCAAAGGACAACACAAAGTGGGGGGAGAGACCTATATTGAGCTCTTTGGGATTTTCAGAGATTTTTGTGGGAGTGGGGAGGGTGTTACTAGATGCTGCGATATGGAGCACAGAGCCAGATGTAGGCTGAAGAGCAGAAATTAATTCTTCTTGTGGTTTTCCGTGTACGAGATCCATCCCAGTATATAAGCACTACGGTTTGGGAGGAGGCCAGTTGTTTGGAAAGCACAAGGTCTACAGAAAAAGACACCCAGACTTTTGTGGACTGTGGTAGATGAGGACAGGGGGAGACTGCGATTTGGGGAGAGTGTATCTTGTTCTAAGTAAAGCTTAATTCCACAGAAACAGAAAAGATGTTTGACTTTCTAGGAAATGGCACTGCTGTTCAGATTGCAAGTTACTCAACCTCACAATTACTTAGGGTCATGCAAACAGACCGATAGCCCATTCTAGTCCAAAGCACCGATGTCCACAAAAACCGGACGGATGATTCAAGGAAGCTTCCAGGCAGGGCATGAAGGCACTTAGCTCTTCCCCACTTTGTTTTGATCCTGCAAATGCATCTCTAGCTCATCTTTTTGGTTAACTGTGCAAATCGTTCCTGGCATCCTGAAAACTCAAAGAGTTACAAAGGCACTTCTCCAGTTGTGCACTCTGTGGAGAATTCTGCTGCAAAAACCACCTTTGAAATATACTCAGAGTCGCAAAGTGATTTCATGCTCTTTATTCAGCTCATAGTGGTGAGGAGCAATGATGATGTCCCCTCAAAGTATCTGCTTTATATACATTATTTACACAATGGGCTGCACATGATTGGCTAATTCCGGAATTCTACTGTAAGCCAGTCAGGTTGTGGATTCACTTCTATCTGGAGCATGATTGGGTGGTTCCTGCCAACCAATCATACTGCTGCATTGTTCTAGGACCAATCAGACTGCTGCATTCTGAATCCTATTGTTCTAGGACCAATCAGACTGCTGCATTTTGGACCCTATTGTTTTAGGACCAATCAGACTGCTGCAGTTTGGATCCTATTCAACTCAGTACATAACAACCTTCATGCCTATAGCTACCTAGAGTGATGTGCAGAGAAGATGTTAGGATCTTCCAAATAACTCCTTCAAGGGAGCATCTGAGGCCACTGTAACTGTTTTTGTTCTTCGGGAAATGATATAACCACAAAGCCAGGATTCCCAAGAACTAAAAGGGTGGAGATCTTGGAGGGTGATGGAGAACTTGGTGCTGCTCCCTTAGGTTCCAATATTCCCAGAAACTGCAGAGAAGGAGGAGCCAGGAGATTTGGAATATTACCAAAAGAAAAATACAGCAGATGAAGGGCTTGTGGCAGAGGGGGGGGGGGACCTGGCACCCTACTCTGCTACCTATTTGCACAATTCATGTAGCAGTATAGAGCATTCGCAGCAAAACCTAACTGCCTTTTGCAATACTACTTTTGCTGCTTCCCGTTCAATACCACCAGCCTAGTCCCACACAAGTTAGGGAGGGATCCATGCATGTGGAAAGCTACAAGTTCACTCCTCTATACCACTGGTACAAGCAACCATTCAGTATTTCCCAACTCACTACAGTTTTTCTGTTCCATTTTTCCAGATTCCAGATCAGGCTAATGCAGCCGCAAAGGCTCCACTTGCAGTTGCAGGCACTGATTCTAAATCTATCATGTGTGCACAATACATTGAAAGCACAGTCCCCAAGAATCCTGGGAACTGTAGTTTAAGGGTGCTGGGACCTCTACATGTGAAGTGTAAATTACAACCCCCAAGGTTCTTTGGGGGAAGCCATGTACCTTTAATGTATGGTGTGGGTATGATGTAGTCATTCTCTGCACTGGAGAAGAGACTCTTAGAAGGAGATAAGAAAACATTTCTCTGAGTTGGCATTTTGCTTTCAGGAAGGAAAAACCTAATGAGACAGAAAGTTTCCATCAGTGATTTGTGATTTCCCACTAGAATGGAAAATGCTTATATATGCGTGCACCGTATATATATGGTCTGGGCACGTGAGAGAGTTTTCTTGTACAGTAATAAACTACATTTTAAAGTTTTGGCAAAGCCAGTAGAATAGCAGAGCAGTTGAGGCTTGTGTCACTGCATGAAGCAAACTGCTTCCTTGGAACTCATGTTTCCAATTGCCTAAAAGCACTTGTTTATGTTATCTATTAGGCTTTCCCTTCAGATGCGATGAAATTATGAAATAGCCAGCCAATGACTCTAGGAAACGTAGTGTTTTGGGGCACATAGCACATTTGAATTTGGGGCTGTGTGTGTGTTTTAAGCCTATTGATCCTTTCACTGACTGAAGATCCCTCCAGGAAACCCCTTGTTTTTATTCCATGCCTCCCAATTGCACCTGAGGCTGCTACCACCCCACTGGATCATTCCAGCACCTCCCAGGGCATGGTATGGCTCTAGCCCTAGCTTTCTCCATGAGTTTGATGGCTGAGGGGAGGTTTAAACCCTGGAACCCGAGGTCCTATTCCAACATTCTTAACACTACACCATACTGGCTTTCACACTCACAAACAAGCACACACACCAGCGGGAGTGTCGGCATTGGGGGTGTAGATTTCACCCTAACATTTTGTCCAAAAAAACCTATCCCCCAGGAGTGACAAACCGCTCTCAACCTAGGCATCAGAAACAGAGGCGTTCCTGTCTTTATTGCCAGTAGAAGACGCCAACCCAAACTCTTCCCCTGTTGCCTCTGCAAGAACTTTCCAGTAGTAAAAAAGGGAGGTTCGAACAATAAAAGAAATAGAGGGGGAGGGCAGGCCTTCTCAGGCCATAAAAATTATATTGGACATCAGCTCAGTGAATGAAGATGCTGTCAAATGACTGGCAAAGCAAACATTGCCATGTTTCTTCTCATGTTGAGATCATGCGACTTACCTTTAAATCCAATTCTATTGGGATTGTCCTCTTCACTCCTTTAAACACACTCTAAACAAAAGCTACAGAATTATTCCTGGTAGTCGCATGTAGTTCTTTCTAGGGAAATATTACCTCTATACTTGTCAACACTCCTAGGAAAGGGTGATGTAGTAAATGGATAGAGGTGTCATAAGTAGGTGAGACACGCGGCAAATCCAGTGAACGCTATAGTAAACACATGGGCTGTGCACACACCATACATTTAAAGCCCATTGTTCCCCCCCAAAGAACCCTGGGAACAGTAGTTTACCTGTCATAGAACTACAATTCCCAGCACACTTCACAAACTACAGGTGTCCACAATTTTGGGGGGGGTGCATAGAGGGCACACACCAGTGGCTTTTGGAGCTGCCGGGATCTCCGTGGATTCCAACACCTTTTTCTTCTGTTAAGCTTTGGGGTATCCTCCAAGGAGACACAGGGGAGGGGTCCACCAGAGGATACCTCATCCGAGGCTCCCTCAAACCCTCAGCTCTGTGGCTCATATAGGGATGACTGAGAGATTTGATTCAGTTTGCTTTTTAAAATTTGCACTTTCTAGAACAAGATGCAAACTGAAACACAGGACATTGCCATATTTTGCAGTGCACTGCTTTGGCCAAGCAATGTGTGCAAAACTACACATGCTAGTGTAAATGCGCCCAAGAATCCATATATTTGTGAAAATAACATACAAAAAGGTGTTACTAAATGTTAGGGGAAATGGACATATGAGGGGAAATATGCCTTGCACATTATCCTTGCATGAGAGTCATAATTACATCTCTGGGTAGGAACTGGAATGTTTATATTCAGTGCATTGTCCTCCTTGATCTCTCTGTGGAAACAGCAATGACAACTTTGATATAACTACCGCTGCTCAAGCGACGCAAAAGGAAACCTCCAGAAGGCTTTGTGAAAACACTGGGTTCTCTGCAAAGATTTAGATGTACGGGGAAGATTATGCAACTGGGGCATGTGTGTCCATAAAGGTGTGGTTTGTTACTAACACAGGGACAGTAGCTCTTCAGTGAACCGGAGAACCGTTCAATCCGCGTTCACCATGCAGCCATCAATCAGAGGTCCGTGGAGTAAGTAAAGCAAGAGTAAGTAAACATCTATTGCCTGTTCAGTTGAATGGAGGCTTTTTGTGGAGAAGGGTCAGTAGATTGCTATATGGAGCCTCCAGGCTGAGAGGCAGACTACCTCTGAATATGCTGAGTAAGTTGGGGAGACTACCACAGAAAAGAGCTTAATCAATCTTCCCCTCTCTCCAAGCAGCCTTTGCATTTCAACCAAAGCCTCCAGATGTGCTGCTGAGGCATCCTCAAAGGAAACCTGCAGGCCATGTCTTCTGCCTTCGAAGAACATGAAGTGAAAATCATGTCCCCTATTTTCTCTCTCACACACACTCAGATGCAAGCTGGCTAGGGAGGGAATCAGGGGTGAGACCTGAGAGAGCAAGCAGACCCATTAAGAACACATGGTTCTGATGGACTTTGGTAGGGTGGGTGATCAGAGCCCACCCCTACCTTAATTTTTGTGTCTGAAGACTTGCTTGATATTTGAGAGAGAGAAAATGTCAAATGGACTCTTAAAAGGGAAAAGCAAAGATCTGTCTGGTATAGAGAGTAAAGAATCTGGTTGTAATTCATAGACACATATTACTCAGGCATGAGCCAAGGGTGGTGCAACTTCTTTTCTGCTTATTTATTTATTTTGTCACCATCCTGAACATTTCCCAGACACCCTCTGGTTTTCACAGTGCTGATGTTAGCTTGCGGTGATGAGAGAGGATCGCTCTGTACTGAACGAAGAAACGCACAGGAAGAGAATTGGCCACAGATCCAGGAGCTCCTCACCGCAGTTGGGTTTGCAATCTATCCTCTCTACCCTGTGCTGCTGGCTCTTTGTCCAGGCACCAAAACAAAACCTTCAAAACCTTGCTGTGTCTGTTGTGCCTCTTGGGAAGTCTGTGGCTTCTGCCTCCCCTCTTGTGGGGAGTGCTTGTGGGGAGCCATTGTTGTCCGTCACTGATGGGGACACCGCGATCAATCATGCCGTGGAGCCGTCCCAAACAACAAACTCGACACCGCAGTCTCACTGTGGTCTTGCTTAGAAGCTGCAGTATATACTCTGGGATGTACACCAGAGACAATACCATGGCGGTTTAGACCTTGAGTCTGCATTTCCTTCCAGTAGCTGCCATAGAAGGAATACAAGGGATTTTCATCAGCTTGCACAGCTCAATCTCCTAGTGAGCAGCATCCATGCCAGTCAGTCTAGCAGTGATGTGGATGACCACACCTTCTGGTCATCACCCCTGGCTTCGCATGACCACGGAAGTACTATGGTCATGAGGCACAAAGAAGTATTGTTGCTTGCATTTTTCAGCAGCACCTAAGCCACCAAGGTAACGTCTGAATCAGCCCTCTCTTGTCATGAGGAAGAATTTTTCTTTTCCTTATTGGGTCAATGCAGCATGATCACAAAGTTAAGGTTCAACTCAAGAGGTTGAATCCAACAAAGCAACAGGCAAGGAGAAATATTTCCATTCCTGCAACAGAACTTGCCCTCTCTCTCCTCCTGCATGCAGCCTCCCACCTCCCCAAAAAAAGTGCTCCACAGAGTACTCCAGAGCAGATTGTGTGTGTTTGTGAGTGTGTGTGAGAGAGAGTATAGGCAATGTAGGGTAGTTCTGCTTTGTGAGCAGTTGTGCTTCTGCAACAACTTTGTTGGACATTCAACCAAATGGTTGGCATCAGAGCTGGCTCAATTCATTTTGCTGCCTGAAGTGGAACAGCAAATCTCTTCCTCCCCGTCCGCCACTATCCCAGGTGTGCCTCATCTTTTCCTCTGGGTGGTGGGGAAGTTTGGGCTCGCTGGGGGCATCTTGGCCAACAACTCCCCATCTCTACCCTGCAAACACAAAAAACCTGGAGCTGGCACAGTCCAAACTAGTAATACCATGTTTGGGACAGCTGCTTTTTGAGACAACTGCCACCTGAATTTGTCTTTTCATATATATTTGTATATATTCCCCATTTCCCTTTCCCAACCAAAAACATGAGATCTGGCAATTTGCCTTCTCTGTTTGTAGCGCCAGTGTTTTCCCTGGCAGCTGTCTCTGTCATTTTCTATCTTTAGTTTTGGATTTCAAGCAGTGGTTGGGATGTTTACCCATCAATAGCCCTAGATTCCTGGAGGGAGGAGGTTGAAATTAGGAACTATAAATTATCCAGACAAGACAAGGCAGGCACATCGTAAGCTGCGCACTTGCCAGTGTTGAGAAGAGGATCCTACTCCTGGCAGGCACTAAGTAAATAACAGGCTTTGACTTGGAGCTTCATTGCCACCGCTGATCTCAGTAGCTCTCATAATTAACAGACGAACTCACTGACCTCAGTGGCTCCTTGTCAGGCTGAAACATGAGTCATTCCCAGCCTGTGTGCTGTGAAATCTTGTGTACACTTCCCTGGGAGTAGGTCCACAGTGCAACTCAACTTCTCGGGAGATGCATATAGAATCGTATCGAAAATCATTTAAGCAGCAGCTATCAGAAGTTTGGAAGACGTTGGTTTATGGCGATAGCATCTGGAAATAGCACGGAGATGAAAGTACAGATTGTGGAGACCTTGAAGTCCAATCTTCAGTTCCTGGGGCAGTAACACAAGATGGCTCCCCCCTTTGCTTGAATGTATAGGGGGATGTACACAGAAAGATAGAGTTGCCTCTTACATTAATCGGGGAGGCCCACTTGTAACAAATCAGTGCCACCCTGAATTCACTTGGAAGGATGGGGTACAAATTTAGCACATAACAATAAAATAATAAAATGTATTGGGGCATGCACGAGGATCAGGTAGCTTGGTTCTGTTGAAAGTCATGTTACTTTTATAGTTACCATGTGAGATATTACCGTATTTTTCGCTCTATAGGATGCACTTTTTCCCTTCTAAAAAGTAAGGGGAAATGTGTGTGCGTCTTATGGAGCGAATGCAGGCTGCGTGGCTAAGCCCAAAGCCAGAACAGGGAGACGGAGCACTGCGCAGTGCTCCGTCTCGCTGTTCTAGCTTGGGGTGAGCTGCGCAAAGCCTCCGCAGGGCAGCGGGGTGAAGGCACCCTGCTGCTCTGCGGAGGCTTCAAAGGCTGTCCCCGAAGCCAGAATAGCAAGAGGCTATCCCAGAAGCCAGATCCCTCTTGCTGTTCTGGCTTATGGGGTTCAGAATTTTTTTCTTCTTGTTTCCTCCCCCCCAAACTAGGTGCGTCTTATCGTCCGGTGCATCCTATAGAGCGAAAAATACGGTATTTCTTTGTAGAAAAGACTGAGGAAATCTGAATCTCAATTCCTGCTGTGCATGCAGGAATGCACAACAGGGATCTCAATTCCTCAGTTCTTTTACCTGTGAAATGGGAAGGACAAAGTTCATTAGCCCTTTTCACACTTATAACTGCTAATTGTATTAGCAAGCCCCACTTGTTTTGTGACATTTCATCACAGCATGCTTGTTCTGTTTCTCCACCTTTATATCTTTGCATATGAGGATGGAAGTACAATTATTTCACCTGCTGCTCGCAGCAGTGATGGGGCTAAAGGGGCACAAAAAGGAGGGCTCTGCTGTCTCTGCTGCCACCATGCACTCCTGGCCTCAGGAAAAGGGAGATGGGTAAGCATTGGGCTCTATGCTGGCACCTGGGCTTTAGCACATTTCCAGCTGAACCACTGACACTGGGGCTAACGGATGCAGTTACTGCATTAGCAGTTAACCCGGCTAATTTGAAAGGCGACATTTTCAAGGCAGAGCTTTTTATTGCTATCTTCCAGTAGATGGTGCCATCTACTGGAAACTGGGTGAAAGCGTAATGACCATTGTATGTGAAGGTAGAATTCACAAGTCAGTAAAGGGGCTCGTGCAGATCCTTTAAAAAAAAAAATAGAATGAAATTAAGCACTCAACCTGATTTGCTTGCACAAAATTTATGTGGAGGTCAGATGATGCCAACTCTATTTAGCATTCATCCTGATTTGCTTCTGAGTTCTACCATCAGTAATTTACCCTATACTTTTTAGTGCATTGCCCTGTCACTCCCCTAACTGCAAATAAGTCCTTTAAAAAAGTGGATTTGTTGCACCAGAGTGCTTTAATTCTGCTTTAATTGGGCAAACTGACATGGTCAGCATGCAACTGAATCGCTCCTGCAAAACACTGACCACAGTCCCTTCCTCTCATAATTGGCCTGTCATGATTGAAAACGTATCGCTTTCTCCCTCCTTCTTTTGGCTTACACCAATGACTTCAGGAGCTTGTCTTCACTCTTATTTCTTTCATGACTGAAGTTTCCCAAGCAAAAGCATTAGCGATCAGAATAAGTGTTGCAAAATCTGAACTGTTACATAAAAACAAAACACCTTGAAGGAGCTCACTGCCTTTGCTTGTGAATTAACCTACATGCAGGGAGCGGCCTTCACGCCTCGCAGTGGAGTGATGTTCCTCCAGCCTCATGAGGAGCCTCTTTTGTGGGGCTAGCGAGTCTGGACCTAGGCCATGTGGAAAGGGTCTAGCAGGGTGTGGCCTTCACGCCCCACAGCCAGGCAAATTTATTTCATACCACACCATATGGCAGCCATTTTGTGTTTTGCTATGTTCTCATTGATAGCCAATTGGTGGACTGACCCATGTAGCACTTTCCCAAAATTGGCCTGGCTCCGTATAAGGCAGCTTCCTCTATTCTTATCATATGAAATACCCCACTTTGTATATTAATAGGAGCACAGGATGTTCTGCATTTATATCCTAAAAGGTGGGGGGGCGAATATCTTGAGTGATATGTTCAAATGTGTTTTTACGCTTGGGGGGCTGCTGCGTCGCTTATTCCTGAACCTTTTCTTCCTTCCAAATGCCCTGAAGATCCATTGCACACCTTGACTTGCATGAAACCTCCTCTCTCTTATTTGCTCAGTGAACCAGACGGGGAGAAGGAAAGAATGAAGGAAAACAGAAATCCGGCCTGATTACGGAGGTCCCTGTCAAGAGAATGGCCAAGATCTCCTCAGGTGAGGATGAAAGGATAGGCAGGGAAAAGCAAAGAGCCCCTGAAAACATCCCCCCACTCGGGAAGAACTTATCAGCCAAACCCCTGCACGGAAGTGTATCTGCATGAAGACGGTCAGCACCTTTCTATTGGATGGGTGTCACTGAGCAGAGTTTTCAATGGAGATGGTGTATCCGGATTAAGTGGGGGAAACGGAATGGGGGAGCATTTGGGTGTGGATGATGTCATGCAGATACAGAACTGGACTTGCGTCTTTGACATAGCAGTTCGAAAGCACGTCAACGTGCAAGTAGATAAATAGGTACCGCTCCGGTGGGAAGGTAAACGGCGTTTCTGTGCACTGTTCTGGTTTCGCCAGAATGGCCACATGACTCGTAAAAACTGTCTGCGGACCAACGTCGGCTCCCTCGGCCAGTAAAGCCAGATGAGTGGCGCAACCCCAGAGTCGTGACTGGACTTAAGTGTCAGGGGTCCTTTACCTTTACCTTTTTAAAAGCACTGCACACTGCCATGTGATGTGAAAGTGCTTCATCTTATCAATGGTCACAACTCCTGAAATGAATGGATGGCTCCAATTCTCCATTTGCTGCCTTCCTTCAAACATTAACATTTGTGTATGTTCTAAGATGTTTAAAATAGTCAAAAAGATGACAGCTTTTAATTCTTCCGAATTTGATACCTACTTTAGATTTTTAAAGGCTGACTCCCAAAGTTATTTCAGGTGAAATAGATGGATTTAGACCCATTGCTTGGCCGAATGTTAAACACACACACACACACACACACACACACACTTCAGTGGAAACTGCATGCAGCTGAGCAGCTCACATTCGGAGCATCAACACAGAAAGGAACAGAAAGAAAGCAACACAAATATTTTGACGGAAGTGTCTTAGGAAAGCGATTTTAAATCATTGACACCTAGGTTCTGAAAATGGTATTGCCTGTATTGGTGTGAGGGATGGGGTCCCATGGCACAAATTCCATGTTGTCCCAGTGCAAAGGAAAAGAGCTAAGATCTTCTCCCTTACTATAATGTCCAAACAAGATGGGATGGGGAAGAAGAATGAGAGGTTTGTAGAGAGTCTTCAATAATTTTGCCAAGGAAATTCTTATGGTTCAGGGCTTCACTCTGTTAGCCTTTCTTGTACAGTGGTGCCCCGCAAGACGAATGCCTCGCAAGACGAAAAACTCGCTAGACGAAAGAGTTTTCCGTTTTTTGAGTCGTTCCGCAAGACGAATTTCCCTATGGGCTTGCTTCGCTAGACGAAACGTCTTGCGAGTTCTTGTGAGTTTGTTTCCTTTTTCTTAAAGCCGCTAAGCCGTTAATAGCCGCTAAGCCGCTAAGCCGTTAATAGCCGCTAAGCCGCTAATAGCCGCTAAGCCGCTAATAGCCGTGCTTCGCAAGACGAAAAAACCGCAAGACGAAGAGACTCGCGGAACGGATTAATTTCGTCTTGCGAGACACCACTGTACATGGAGATCCTTTATGAAAGGCATTCAGGCCCATCAAACAAATCTGTACTGAGATACACATACTGTATCACCATTTTTACTGCTGGAACTGCTCTGAATCTGACTTCAGGAAGAACGTGTTTTAACTGCGCAGTGTCCTGGAAAAGACACTCTGTATTGGGAAAGAAAGGAACTGAGTTCCCTCCCATTTTACACTTTCCTGATGTTCCAAATGACCAGTACCTTGGAGTTATGATTTGTGTTGTTGTCAGGATTCTAACTGGCCTGTAACTGACCTAAGAATTCTGCAGAGCAGTTGCGGCTGTGGCTGGCTGCTCAGGCGAACGTCAGCTCAGTGGCCAGCAGCTCAGTCTTCTTGAGGCTCAGGAACACCTAGCAAATACCTGCTCTGTTCCTGGCACGCTAGACTCTAGCTGAGAAAGGCATTTCACGTAAGTTTATGGATTAAACATTCCTCACTATGCCATCAGGTGTGTTTATGCTCAGTGGAAAAGGATAGCTGCAGTAAAGGTAAAGGGACTCCTGACCATTAGGTTCAGTCGTGACCGACTCTGGGGTTGCGGCGCTCATCTCACTTTATTGGCCGAGGGAGCCGGCATACAGCTTCCGGGTCATTATTAAGCCACTTCTAGCAAACCAGAGCAGCGCACAGAAACGCCGTTTGCCTTCCCGTCAGAGCGGTACCTATTTATCTACTTGCACTTTGACGTGCTTTCGAACTGCTAGGTTGGCAGGAGCAGGGACCGAGCTCACCCCGTTACGGGGATTTGAACCGCCAACCTTCTGATCGGCAAGTCCTAGGTTCTGTGGTTTAACCCACAAAACAGCGAAATCATGAGCAGCTTCCCATCCACAACAGGTTGCTGAGGTTCTGGCCATTTTCTCAGGAACAATGCAACAGTAGATTAAATCAGTAGCAGTTTGCTGGAAGAAAGTATGTGTGGATCAGATGTCTCTACCTAACCAGGGGGTGGGAGAGAGCAGGGGAACTCTCTCTTTTGCTGTTTCTTTCTGTGCATGGAAGGAAGAATGCAGGAGGGAGGATGTCCTTCAATGACTAGACATGCTTGTTATTCCCTCTCTCACTGCATCTTGTCTTCTCTTTTGTTTCCAGGATGTCTGCCAAGGTCTCCCCTGCTCCCCTCCTCTCCAAACCCCCCATGCAGGTGAAAGAAGGCTCCCTGGTGGTCAGGTGGCTGAGATTAGTGTCCGGTCTCCAGTTGTGTGCATTCCTGATAGATATTGTGGCCTGGATTTTGTGCATTGCCTCAACAGCCGTTGTCAACTGGCGAGTGTGGCGTGTGGAAAACATCAAGGGGATTGGCTCTGGAAACATCTGGATTGGAATCTGGCAGGTCTGTTTTTTGAAAGACCCTTCTAACGACGGAAATTATTATTACCATTGTGAAGAGCTCCATGAACAACATCCAACCCTCCCGAGGGAAATTTTTATTGCTCAGGATTTAATGGCATTAGCTGCCATTATGAATTCAGTGGCCCTGGGATTAATTTCATTTGCCTTGTACAATGTGTTTAAGCCCAGAAAACATAAGGATTTTCTCTTAACCTTTTTTGGGCTTGGAGCTCTGCTGAACTTACCAGCAGGGATACTCGTCCTGATTTCCGTGATATGGAACATGTCTGCCGTCTTACAAAATGGGGAAATTGACTTCCCTGAAACTTTTGAATTGCCTCAAATTCCCAGCGAGCAGCACATTGGACCTTCTATTTATCTAGGCTATATCGCTGCAGGTTTCCAGCTGCTGAGTGCAGCATTGGTTGGGATTGAGAGATGTTGCATCAGGACCACTGCAAGCAAGAGTCTAACTACTTGTACAAAGTGTGGTTCTCTCCTGGATCTCTCCTCCGCAGTTGAGATGGAGGAAAGCTGTGCAAGTGATCTTGTAATTCCAGAGGAATCCTGCGTAGTAGAGATGGAGTAAAGCCGTATGCCCCAAAGCTCACCTGAAGGACATCAAAGCCAACCTGATGTCCCCAAACATACAATTATATATGTGATTCGCTTCAACTGTAAAGACTAAACTATCAGATCCAGATCCACACACATCGCTCCATACACGCATGGATCTGCGTGGATCGGGATATGATAGTTTTGTTTTGGGACTTCAGGTGGGCTTTGATGTCCTTCAAGTGAGGAGGCCTCTTTTTTATGACTAGTAGTTATTTATTTATTTATTTATTTAAGATTTTGTTGATTTACAAAAGTGTGCAATGTCTCTCTCTCATGTCCCCCCCCCCCCCATGTAACACTTTTACAAATCATTTTCATTTGTTGAGGGGGGGAAAGATGGGTGGGGGTGGGGTCGGGTGGCGATTCTTCTATTTTACTTACTATATGTAGGGTTTGGTGTCAGCGTTGTTTGTGCAGATTCTTTGCTGTTTGCTTGTAATTAATAAACCAATTAATAAACCAATATTAATTAAAATATTGACTCTGTTCGCATGATCTTGGCCAGTCTTAATGCACACTCTCGTCCCGTTTTTCAGAGCCTCCTCCAGAGGAAACCCACTAAAGCCTAACCAGTGGGTCTACTCCTGTGTAGGATTCAGCTCTTGATAATTGTGCACTTGGGTCTGGGTTAAAGGCGGATCTACATGGATCCTCATGGATCCTCCACTTTTTAAAAAATAACTCCAACAAATGCAGTGTCAAATCACACCTGGAAGGCACGCCTACAGACTGGACTATCAAAAACGTGGATGCAGTACCACAAAAACATGGACTTTCTTCACCGACTCTATTGCATCTGAAGAAAATAGTAGCAGGAGACTCTTTCAGGTGGTTTGCAATTTAACGGAACCACCTTTACCACCGGGGCCTTGTAAAGACCCCAAGATCTCCTGAAACGATTTTGCAAATTTTTTTGCAGATAAAGTCGCTCATATTTGGAAGGAGGTAGACACCACCGCGGGAGCAGGGCTGGGGTGGGAGAGTGCTAGAACCCTGTCTGGTCAAGTTGCATGGAATCAATCTCAATCCGTTACCCCCGAGAATGTGGTCCTGTGTGAGTGCTTGGAGGCGGTTGGAGGATGGATGGCAGCTAATGGATTGAGGTTGAATCCTGACAATATGGAAGTACTGTTCTTGGGGGACAGGGGGTGGGCTGCTGTGAAGGACTCCCTGGTCCTGCATGGGGTAACTGTGCCCCTGAAGGACCAGGTGCACAGCCTGGGAGTCATTTTGGACTCACAGCTGTCCATGGAGGCACAGGTCAATTCTGTATCCAGGGCAGCTGTCTACCAGCTCCATCTGGTACACAGGCTGAGACCCTACCTGCCCGGAGACTGTCTCACCAGAGTGGTGCATGCTCTAGTTATCTCCCGCTTGGACTACTGCAATGCGCTCTACGTGGGGCTACTTTTGAAGGTGATCCGGAAACTACAACTAATCCAGAATGCGGCAGCTAGTCTGGTGACTGGGACCTGAAGTAGACCTGAAGGAGCGTCTCCACTCCCATCGTTCTGCCCAGACACTGATGTCCAGCACCAAGGGCCTTCTGGTGGTTCCCTCACTGTGAGAAGCAAAGCGACAAGGAACCAGGCAGAGGGCCTTCTCAGTAGTGGCGCCCACCCTGTGGAATGTCCTCCCATTAGATGTCAAAGAGATAAACAACTACCTGACATTTAGAACTACCTGAAGGCAGCCCTGTTTAGGGACATTTTTAATGTGTGACTTTTTAATGTATTTTTATTTCATTTTTTTGGAAGCCGCCCAGAGTGGCTGGGGAAACCCAGCCAGATTGGCAGGGTACAAATATATTATTATTATTATTATTATTATTATTACTTTGTAGGATTTGATAATCTTTATAGGTTTTTTAAATTTCTAATCTATATCTATCTATCCCCTCCCCCTTTTCCCTTTCTGTACTTCCCTATCCTTATAAAATTGAATATATATATATTTTTAAAAATTACAGCTCCACAGTTTTCTGGGTCTCCCCATATTCATTACCCAACTACCTATGCTGCTTATGGCCAGATCACTTTGGGGCACTGCCATGCTGTAAAAAGATACTCATGAAGCACAGATCCCCATGGATCCTTAGGTCTTTTATGTTTGGTCACCCTGAAATCACTATCAAATCACACATGATGTATATATATGAACACAGAATGAACCACAAAACCCACAGAGCACAGCCAAGGAACAAACACTATATTAAATACTTTAATCCACATGGATCGTCATGATTGTTAAATGGACTCCACCAAATTATATTGTAAGATCACACCAATGTCTATGGAATGACCGAAATAAAAACTCTATCTGAATGGTTCTGCATTAGCAAGAACATTGTATTAAAATGACATTCATATTCATAGCTTCCACTGTGAAGAACTGTGCCTGGAAATTTTTGATGCTGCTAAACTTCAAGAATATCCAAGGCAGAGATTGTGATGGTCTTACCTGTGAATGTAAATTATCAAACCAACTAGATGGAGACCACCTAAGTAGCCATGAAAAACAATCACCTGTCTTGCGTCAATTCAGCTACAAATGGTTTTGGGACAAAAGTTGGTTGCTTTGGGGGGGGTAATTATAAATGGAGGTTTAACTGCAAGTTTTCTTGCCGACAGATTTTGTCAGTGCAAACTTTGAAATAGGGGGTCTCCAACGTGGTGCCCATGGGCATCATGGTGCCTGCTGACAGCTTTCCTGGAGTCCACCACATGTTTTTAGAAAAAGAACAGGATTAGTGGTGAATTGTGCCCAGCATGACTTCAGATTGTTCATAGTACATTTGATTGGCTGCAGGGGCATACGAAGAGGCAGCGGGGTGGTGGTGCCCCGGGGTGCCATGCTGGGGGGAGGGTGACAGTACGGTCGCTGTACTGGCTGCCGCTTGTGCGGCGTCCGTGTGGGCTGCCGCTCTTGCGGCAACTATACAGGCAGCCCCTCTCACAGCGACCGTATGGGCCGTACGGGCAGCTGCTCTCGCGGCGACTGTACAGGCTGCTGCTCGCGTAGCGTCTGTACAGGCAGCCCCTCTTGTGGCGGCCATACAGGCTGTACAGGCAGCTGCTCTACTGGCGACCATACGGGCGGCCGCACGCATGGCGTCCATACGGTCTGCCATGCATGCACAGTCTGTACAGGACATTGTGTGCGCGCCCATCATCCAGGACTTGTTACCATATTTTAGCTGCCACAAAATCTATCGGCATGCCACCAGAACCAGGGAAGCCTTGCCAGTTGCAGCTCACACAGTTGAAGCGAAATAAAAGAAAGAAGAGTAGATTGGGAAGAAAGTTCCCCAGACTGCAGGAAAAGATAACAGTAGCTCCAGCATCTGATTCAGTACAGGCTGCTCAGGGGTTGGACTCCTTAAGATCACCAACTGACTATGAGACACCTGGAAAGCACTCAACCTCAGATGACCTCCACTCCACAAAGTGGGAAAGAGGATTTGACAGTGACCAATATTGATTCTTTTGATAGCAGCCCCATATTCTCAACACAAAGTGAGAAGTGTTTGGACAAATCACTGATTTGTACATCAGTTCCCCCATGGCACAACTGTACCTTCCCCACACTCAGTCTACAAACCATGGGACTTGTGGGTTCAGTTGGCAACATCTGTGTGTATGACTATGACATAAACACACTGAAAGGATCAAACTGGATAAATGACCGCATAATAGATGCCTTTCTTGCCTCCAGGGTGATCATGGCCAAAGAGCTAGGTCACGATGGAACAATTTCCCCACTTACTTGCTACTTCATGCAGATATGTCAAAGATTGCCAGTGCAAGCTCTGAAGAACTGTTTGAGATTTGGAGTGCTAAAGAAAGATGTTTTGATTATTCCAGTAAATGATAGAGAAGTCCACTGGATACTGATAATCATTTTTCAAAGGAAGACCATGCTCTACCTAGATTCCAAACATAGATTGAACCACTCTGTGACTAATGGAATAACATCCTTCTTAGAATGTCTGTATGAGATGGATTCAAAATATCCCTATAGTTTTGCGGACTGGTCATTTTTTGCACCAACTGATATACCCAGGCAAGGTAATTTCAGTGACTACGGTCCTTTCACATGTACCATTGCCCATCTGATTGCTTCTGCTGCCCAATTACAGTTCATACAAAAGGATATGGCTGCCATTAGACCCTGGATTGCAAAAGAAATAAAACAGTACAGTGGGAAAACCTATTTTGAAGGACAAGACAAATATTTTCAAGTGGAAATCGATGCTGTTCCTCCCAAGAAGAGACAAATCTTGAAAGAGAGTCACATTACTGTGTCTCGATCATGCCCAGAGGGATGGAAGGATACACTAACCTGTTGCTCAGATATTTTACCTTCCTTGTTTGAAGGCTGCTGGTCACTATGTTTTTTGAAGGAAGGGGGCAGGAGGCCCGCTGGTGACCTAACTGTGGTTTACTGTGAAGGAAACTGCAAGGACTGGTACCACTGCTTTCGCATAGGCATTGATTCAAAAGATCTTCCAGAGGTTTTCATGCGTCCAGACTGTCAATCCACTGTGGCCAAATAGATTTTGAAACTGCGAACTGTCATATTCCACAGGTTGGTATAATACAGCAAAATCCAAACACATAGATTTCATCATCATGGCAGGGATGGTCCTTTTCCATAGAATTCTTATTCATGGAGTTGGTTTTTATATCCTGCTTTTCTCTACTTGAAGGAGTCTCAAAGTGGCTAAAAATCTCCTTTCCCTCCCACCCCCACAACAGACACCTTGTGAGGTAGGTGGAGCTGAGAGAGTTCAGAGAGAAGTGTGACTGGCCCAAGGTCACCCAGCAGCTGCATGTGGAGGAGCGGGGAAGCGAACCCAGCTCACCAGATTAGAGTCCACCGCTCTTAACCACTACCCCACAGAAACGTATCTCTTAAAACTCTGGAGCAAGCTGTTCAGTACAGCCTCATAATGATACTGATTTGCGGAGGGAAGGTTG